TATGCTTGTCTTTACACCGCATGCACTAAAACTACTCCATCTTAACGTTTGCCCCTCTTCCACGGCACGAAATACGGCCAAATCATCATCGTCTTCATCGGATAAAAGCACATCCACGCTGATCCGATTGAAAACACATTCAGCGATGCATTTGCACAATTTCTTGCATAATTTTTTAAAAATTCAACAACACACTGGTGGCGCTCTTCACCCCACCGGGCCTGCAATTACCACCAAATTCAAACAGAGAGCACAGATTGCCTCCTCGTCTTGTCCTGGATGAACGCAGTCCTGATTTGCAGTGCTACTCCATAGGTTTATTATTCTTGTCGTGCATACATGTGATCAGCCTCAGATCATAGCGGCAGCACACAAGCACCGTCACTGTTATTGTCCGCCGCTCTTCATGGCGCTGCCGCTGCAAAAAAAACTAAACAGGCCGCTTCTTGTGCACCCAGTCTTCCAGCGCGTTAGGCTGCCAAATATCCCCTGTGCATGCTTGCGAAGTAATTTCAGGTCGGGTGCAACAAAGCGCCGTGAGTAGCTGCCCGTTTGATGTCAGTGTGAGCTGCGCCTCAGGAACAAAAACAGGCCGCTTCGCTTCTTTTTAGGATTTATCTTGCCGTTTTCCTTTCGTTTGGGTGCGTCGTACGTGTTACGCGTGATAAATATGCGAATTTAATATCCACTCCATATGCGCAAATTATTCTTTGGAGAAAACCGTATAGATATATATTCAGTAGCGATATTGAAATGTATGTGTATTTGAAAAGGCTTCTCCCCTCCCTTCCTCTCCGCATTAGAACAAGGAGGGGGCGCTGCTGTCTACATCTCGCGAGAACAACACAAAAACGGCTACGGAGAGAGATGTTTCCGTGATAGTCGCGCGATACTTTTCCCGGCTTGGAGGCTGTTATTTTACTCGCGAGAAGAGAACGCAAGCTAGTGTGGGTGACTGGTTACCTTGGTTACATAAACGTTATGATGTGGGGCGTGGCTCCGAAAAAAACGCATAAATAAGCATAACAAACCGTAAGTAAAATATCCAGACACATTATTCAAATAGCAAAGCTTGTGATTGTAATACACTCTTGCAATTGCTTGCAGCACCCATTGTTTAACATCACATGTCTGAGCAGCTGTGTTTAGCTTATTCCATTTGCATTCAAGTTTAGATATATATATATATAGTCACACTAATTAATACATTTATCATTTAAACAACCTTTCTAAACTTGTCAAAAAGGTTTATAAAATCAACTTCAGAAAAAAACTGAAACAATGCAACTTCTAGGATAAAGTGATTTTTGAAATGAAAGACAAGAGTCATGTTACGATTTTTCTTTTTTTGTGGAAATATGTTACATTTATATTACAGGTATTTAAATGCCCCAAGGGAAAAAAATAACAGTTTGAGACAGCAAAAACTAGCACAATCAGGACAACAACATAATTTAGACAGAAAACCGTACATACTGCATCTGTGTGACTTGCATCTGTAGAAATGGTATCCAGCTGATGCCCTGGGTGGACCATAATCTATGTTAAGTGAAACCCAATAAATACTGCAAATGTTGTTAATGTAACTTACAAAATATATCATAAAATGTACTTTTTAAATCGAATTCCTTAAGTCTGTGTACAAAAACAGTTTATAAATACAACCAGTCTCTACTGATGCTGTAGGGTACCATTCATTTAACTGGTCTCATCCCCTAACCTACAAACTGAAAATCTTCCACATATGCACATAGCGTGACCCACAATAATGAGGTCAGGTATATCTTGCCAAAGATCATGCCTTATAAATCACTTGTACTTGAATGTAAAAAAAAGAAGACCTTTCCCAAAAGAAACTCTCGACTTACAGTATCTCACCTCACCGCTCCTCCTAAAGGTGTGCAAGAAAACCAAAATGAATAGTACAAATGATTTAAAAGCACGAGCTTCAGCAATAACTAGTTTGATTGATAATGTGAACTGGAACAGAATCACAGTAGCTGCCTTATCGCCGACTCTGCTGACATCAGCCCCTCGGTACAGTGCCATCACACTGAAAGCAAGTCGGTTTGGAATACAGGGCGATGTTAAAGGAGAAGCATCCAGTACTCAGTCAAACCTCATGTCCAATGGTTCATCGAATCCTTTGTCTTCGTGTGGCCCCGTAGCCAAGAAGGAGGCTACAGGTGAGCCAGTCGCCGTGGAGACGTTAAGCATCCCGCCAGCGCCGCTACCGGTGGCGTTCCGCACTGCGATGCTGGTGACGTTGATGCCTAGAGTGAGTCTTGTCTGCTCGAGCGCCTTCTCTGGCACCGCAAAGGCCTCCAGCTTCTTTTCGCCATTGGCCATGTAGGAGTTCTGGCAGCCCCTGCATATGCAGTCCAGACAGGCTTTGCGGTTGGAGTAACAGGGGCATCGCTGTCCACGGCATGTAAGAACACTTGGGTTTTGAGTTGCTCTGCCGCACTTGCAGCCCTTTTTCTCTTGCGCCTTTTTGTACACCACTTTTGTGGGGCTCCCAGGAATGAGGGCGTTAGTCAGAATCCGTTCTTTCGTCTTCTCCTTCGACTTCGGAGTGCCCTGTTTGGACTTAGTGTATGCCTTTTTGGGTCCATGGTTGTCAATGGTCTTTTTGACAGTTTTAGCAGGCACCAGTAATGCCTTGCCCACCTTAGAAAGGCCACCACCATTGGGCACCGCCGCCATGTGGGGGATAGTCTGAGTGGGAGATTTAGGTTCGCACTTGATTGGAACAGGGGCGGAGGCGCCCAACGTGGGTCCGCGGATGAAGGTGGAAATAGGTACGGGTTGAATCTTCTCGCTGTCGCTTTCTGACCGTGAGCGCTTCCGGTTGGACCGTGGCATTCTAGGCGTCACTGCGGAACAGGATATTCCCAAATGTTGTGGATTCTTTTGGGACGTCGGGTGCTGGGGGACGAAAACTTCCTGCGAGTCTTGCGGGAGACAGGAGAGCTGCCGAGCAGAGTCGACCGATGCAAATGGTCCATTCAAGTTTGCCGAAGGTTCGAGTCTCGACTGCAATATTGCAGGACACTCATCCTGGGCAACGTGGTCTGGTTCTAGAGTCCTGAGCACTTCCTCTACACTCAAGAGGAGAGTCCCGCCATCATGTTTAATATCCTCGCCAAAGCCACAAATGTCCATGGTGCTGGTACAAAGCTCCTCGCCAGCAGCTGCCACTGCCTCGCACACGGGGATCTCATTTGTGAAACTCTCTTGTTTCACTGAGTCGCCCCCGCTTTCCACCGAGTCTGGAACATTGGCCTCTAGTGAAGGTAAATTGGCGGTCAACTCCTCCACGTTGGTCAAGCCATTGCAGTCTTGGAGACCGTTCACCCCTAGAGGACTGAGGTCTTGCTCCTTGATCTCTGTCGATGGGGACTGGCCCTCATCGGGGAGCGTTTCTGAGGTCGAGGGTGAAGGGGACTGGTTTGTAAAGCTCGGGGAGAGTGACTCCTCCCTCTGTCTGTTGTCCAATGAGAGGCCCTCATTCAACAGCGCCAAGATGTCTGGGGACCCTCCCACAGTACTTGAAATGTGCTGGGCGAGAGGAGAGTCTGCGATGTACTCGCAGAGCTTTCTGTAGCAGTCCACCAAGATGCACAGCTGCTTATTCTCTTCAAACTGCTCGTAGTCTTTACACCAGCTGCACGAGGGTTTCATCATCATCTTTTTACCTTTACATGATTTACAGACATAGTGCTGGCACGATGAGTTGGTAGGAGCGATTGGATCTTGTAGCAAATTGCCTAAATAAATAAAGAAACCATGTTTAGGCCATGAAACAACAGAATAGGTATTATAACAACACATCTACATGCTAATTATGCAAAGAGCAGCCTAAATAGGCAGCTTGGATGCTGTACCTTTGAAATTATAATTCTAATCACAGTTTTGTGGCTCATGAGCAAAGCAATACAAGCACTACATTGTATCTAAACAAGACATGGTTCTGTAACATTCAATAGAAGCCCCGCATATGTGCTGACGTTAAAGGGTCATGTGATCTTGCATGCTGTCGCTCATATTACATCCTCAGCATATGGTTAGCAGGGATCTCAAATGCATTGTGTTTATAAACCCATGAACATTATTGTAAGCATGCAATGCTTAATATAAATATTAAGCAATTACTGTTGTGTTTACAAAATATGCATGGGTTATCAACAGCTATATTAGAAAAAAGTGAGATTAGCAACGAATTGCCAACTCATTCAAAACACAAAGCATTACAGCAAACAGGGTTCCCACACCTATTGACCAATCAATTTATTACTTGCAATCAAAGTGCATTTCTAGATAATTATACATTTTTATAATTATGATGATCATGCAAAATGATGATGATTTGCATTACTGGAAAATGATTAAATAATTATTTATATTTTATATTAACATATTTAATACTTCTTTGTTATAGAACCCCAGTGAATATATATATATAATATGAATGAAATGAATATATATATATATATATATATATATATATACATACACACACACACACACACACAATTATAAATAAATATATAATTATTATATATACTATATTTATATGAACATTTTTAACATTACCACCGAAAACCCTGTAAAGACTGGGTAACTGGGCAATTTGTCTCAAGCGACAGGTTTTATCAGACTGAACAGGCAAGCCATTACTATTCAAGCCCCATGCATCTATAAACACAGAGCCTGTATGCACAGCTGTGTGTCTAAATGCCCAGGCTCCAGTTGTCATTGTAGGTCAGGAATTTGTGGAC